GGATGGGTTTCTCAAAATCTTCTCTTGAATTCTCAGACAAGAGGAGATTATTTTTTTTTACTTAGAGCATAAATAAAGTTGCTTTATTACTTTTCTATCCTCTGTTCTTCTAATTACACTGAACCTGTATGTCAGGGTTTGTTTTACATATATGATGACAGAAAGTCTTAGCTTCTGTTCCTCTTTTAATTCCAAAGGTTAAATTATCTGGATGGTGGCAGGATGCTACTTGAGGAACATGGATGCTTCCAGTAAAAAGAGAGCACTTATTTCCCTTACAAAGCAGTTATTTCCCTCACTAAAAGTGTGTCATAGGGGTTTACACCTCACTATGGTGTTATGATTGTTACTTTTTCCTGTCTTTTTCATAGACTAAAGTAGTTTTGCTTACCTGCAGAAAAAGTGGAAAATATCGAAAAGCACTTGTTACTGTATTGGTGTTGTCACTTACTGGAAACCGGTATGAGGGTATTTTACAGATGTAGCTGGTGCAGTAACCAAGCAGGCCAAACGTTAGCGTTCTAAATGTTCATTCCATGATCTTTCACTTAGCTGCTGCTTAACTCTGCAGGGAAAGACCAAGATACTGTCAGGTCCGTGCTAGATGAGTACCTGAGAGTGGAATCTAGAATGCTGCTGGAAACCACTGGTTATTTGTTAAGCTCTTGAGGGACAGGAAAGTGCTGCATATGTGAATCCATTACAGGCTGCTCTGTGCTGAAAGCAATTGGTAACATTAAGCTTAGTGTGTCTTAATGTCCTCCCCACTAATGCCTTAACTCACAGGCTGCAGTGAGCAGCCTCCTCTACTCAGCATCCACTCCTAGCCCCTCAGGGCTTGCTCTTTTAAGGACAATGCCACAAGGCAAGATGGGTCCCACTCTAAGGAGTAGGGTGTCATATGAAAAGGTACCACAGTGTTCAGTTTTGCTCTCTATATTAGGAAGCAAGAGAAGAGAATGCCTAGCCAGGCCATAAGCAGCTCTAGATGGGCACGTTCTGTCTGTCAAGGCACAAAGGCTGTGGGTGGAGGAGGGAGGTGGTTTGGATAGGTGTGCATATAATGAGAAAGAAAGAAAGAAACACTTAGTTCTGCTGCTTGAATTGCTGAAGTATGTTACGTTAGAGAGTCACCATAATAAGTTGCAATATGGTAGAAGCTGAGAAACGACTGCTCACTCTCAAAATGACTGTAGCATCAGTTGTAAAACATCTTTATATTATGATTTTAAGGACTCAAATAATATACAGAAAGTACAGAATCTCTGCAAAGAGCACATTATGTCACAGGGCTTTTGTATGCCACCATTGCCTTTTGAGGTACTCTGATTGGGTTTCTCCCAAGATTAAAAAAAACCAAAACAACACAACCCAAAACAAACTGTTCTGCTAGGTTCCTGCAGCTGAGTCAGAGCAAGCTCTCAAAGTTATTATGCTGATTTCCAAGTGTAACTCATACACCAGACAAAAGAGCAGATTACACTGAGCAAAGAGAATTAGTAGTGATAAACTAAAACAGGAAAACAGACAAGTTCTAGCTAACAATGACCATATACCACTATTCAATGGGAAGGTAACTTCACTGTTTTCCACCTTGAGTCATTTGCTATTTCAGAAGGGTTCGGATTTTGAAATACAAACACCCTTGTAGCTCTTTACTAGGCACACAAGCAGAATAATTTACACTTCGCTTTCCACTTAATTTTTAACTATACTTTGAGCCTAGTTTATATATTTTATACCAGTCTTCAAATCACTTACTCCCAAAAAGCAAAGGACTGCTGTAGCCAACTGTCTTAAGACAGGTTCACCTACTTCTCTTTTCATTTAGTCACTGTGAAAGAGGTCTAAACCTCCTGCAGGAGAAAGAGTGGAAGGTTTTTCTAGCTAGAGAAATAAGGACTTCCTTGTGAAGTTATAGTGTGTTCCTAATCACAGCTCTCTGCCTTTAAATCGCCTCTCTCTTTTCCAGAATTTCTCTGTCTGAAGGCAAAATCAGTTGTTGCTAGCTTTTTTTTTTAAATGTCATTTAAGGTTATAGTATCTCACAAGTTACCCGTTCTCTGGCCTACCACTTGAACAGGACTAAGTGTGTGTTACCTTTTATGTTAAGCTTGGAATGTCAGATTGCTGGAATATATGAGATAACAAAAGAAGTTTGGTATTGTCATCACAGTGTCCATCCCTGTGTATCTTTATAGGCTTGCTTATTATTCTGTAATGATAAAAACAATGGTTGGAAAGGTAATTATCAGTGCTGCATATGTAAGGATAGCTTTTGCCTGGGGTGGTGAGCAAGACCCTCGTTGTGCGCAGGGGGAAGGAGTGCCATCATGGAGCACCTCCCACGTCCCACAGTATCTGGCACTTGTCCCCTATGCGTGCTAAGCTTCACTCTTCACTGCTGTCCTCCTCAGGAACAGGCACATGTTTAGACCTTTGCTTGTTAGTTTATTTTTCAATAAAAACACAAATGATGTTCAGCAAGGGGCAGCATCTAAGGGCAGTGCCAGTGAAATACTTGTCTATTTTAACACAGCAGTTTTTTAGGCAGCATAGCAAACTAACAGGAAAGATGCAGTCTCATCAAGTAGCTAGTTATTTTGATAACCTGCTGGCTATGTAGTCATAGTTGTCAGGGAACTTTTACTGTGGTTTTTGAGTCACTCAGTATTAACTTAACTTAATATAGTTTCAGATGCTTTATGTAGAACCATTGAAGTGTCGTTATGATTGCAGAGCACACAACCTGTTGTATTTCAGTAGAGAAATTGCACCTAAATGCTTTAAGTCCATTTGAAAATTTTTGAGTTGTCATTAATAGTAGCGTAAATCCACACCAGATGTAAACATTTTCTGTAACAAAATATAAAATTAATTTACATGTTTTGCACTTGATAAAAATTTCCCAGTATTTTCAGCCATCTGGTCCAGTAATTTTTCTGTTTCACAACAGTACAAAATAGCACTAGATGCAGTTTCAGGAAGCTGTAGTAGTCTGAAATCCAAGGATCTTAGACTGAACATGCCAAAAATTAATCCTAAAACCTGTTTGAAACATTAGCTATTTATACTAACTCCACATTTTCATTCAAAATAAAATATGCACCATCTTAAATTAGCAAGAACACTGATTAATAATTTTTTGCCAAACTATGAATGCTGTTGACTATGACACTCAGCTGTATCTATCAACAGTGCACAGAACGGCTAAAACGTGAAGGATGCTGGCATAACCTGAAAACGGAGTGCTTGTCTATGACAGCATGTTCTGTCACAGGAAGAAGTTAAGTTCTCAACTCTTGTTAATGGTTTTACAAATTTTGACAGGAAAGATAAATACTTAGCATCAAAATTACTTTTTCTTTACCTTATTGACTCATGAGACTAAACAAAGTTTCATTATTTTGTTGTAATAAAAATGTTTTATTAAAACATCAAATGGGGAGGGAAAAATAATCCATATGGTAGCATGAATTTGACCTGTAAAGAAAGTCAGAAAGGCCATTCAGAGTAGTGAATACAGCTACCAATTTATTTGTTTATGTTTGCAAGGCAGAAGAAAGAAAAAGTAGAAATTACTGGTTTGGAGGTGAGGCTGACACAATTTCATTTAATATGAAATTGTGTCAAAATTTCTGCAAAAATCCCATAGCTACTGAGGAGCATGGCATGGAACTACACCTGGCATATGGATCATCTTTAGAAGTTGGTCAAAATCCAATAGCATTTGCAAACTTAATTTATTTTTTGTAAAATTATCATATTCTGAGAGAAGGGGAAAAATGGTTGGACTTCTTTGAACATTCGTTTAGCAATCACTAAGTCAATGATTCAGCCAAGGATTTCAAAGTACCTTATAAAGCCTTAAATATGAAGTACGTTTGTCCTCTTTACCTGCTGCTGCTTGTCATTTAGCTTTTCTACTCCTGACCACGCCTGGATCATACTAGCATGCCACCTCCCCAGAAATTTTTGATATAGCATATTGTTGGCTCGTGCAACAGATCAAGTGTATGTCTTTCTTTTCTAGTTTATAATGGGAGTGATATTTTACCCCAATACAGTCCAAAATATAAATAGTCTATTTTTTAAAAAGAAAGAAACAGAACAGCCTTAAGTCCTAAAAAATAGAGAGGAAATTAGAATAAACCTGCCTTGTTTGTAACCCACACTAGATAAATGTTAATTTATGTCATTACCAAGCCTGACTCCTCTTGCAGGTTGTCACCTTTCCTTTTTTGGCTGTTCTCATCTTTCTTCCTCTTTTATTGTAACTCACAACCTCTTCTGCTTAGGTTTCTTTGATGTACCTGGCTTTATTCCATCTGTGATAACCCCCCTAAGTCTTTGAGAAAAGATTACAAATTATCTTCTATGTTTTTTATTTGTTTGTGTTTCCCTTTTTTTTTTTTTTTAGGTCACTGGCCTCAGGTAGGCAAGTTTAAGCTCTCAGTGAATTTTCTGCATGTTAATTTACAAATACAGCTCCACAATCCTTGGCTTTCAACTCATGTTTCGGTAGCATCATTCTTTAGGCAGTTATCTATTACTGAAATTTTTTTCAAATTTTCATCAGCTTCCTCTAGAGTACTCCATCTTTCTAGCCAAAGGAGTAGCAAGATGACAAGCACACCTTGCAGTAAGCGTAAAGTTAAAGTTCAGTAACCCTAAACAGAGCTAGTGGAGCGGAATAAAGTTTTTACTAATTATTTATTACTACTATTAAAATCATTTATTGCTATTTACTAATTATTTTAATGCAAGTTGAGGTAGATGGTTTACATTTAATGCTGTGCCTTATGAACCATCAAAGAACAAAAGTAAACATGACACCTGCAGCTGTACTTGCTATAGAACTTTCTCTACAACGCCAGCAGCTATGTGAGCCTCAGCATACAACCTCAGCAGTATCTTTTACTGTAAACACATTTTATACATAAACTGCAACTGCTAACTAAATACATACTCTCGTTTGTTTTGTTTTTTTTTTTAAACAGGCATTAAAGCTGTATTTTCTGGACATTACCATAGGAATGCTGGAGGGTCCTACAGAGGACTGGAAATGGTGGTTTCATCAGCAATAGGATGTCAACTGGGAGAAGACACGCATGGGCTTCGAGTGGTTGTTGTCACAGACGAAACGATTGTTCATAGATACTACAGTTTAAATGAACTGAGCAGCCAAGGCATAGAGAAAGAGCTGTTAGATATGCTTGCTAAGCCAAATTAGGCTATGCTAAATGATGTGATTTTTTTTTCCATATTACACAAATAGAAACAGTTTCAGAAAGTTTCCCCAAGCTGAAGATACAGATTTCTGATTGTGCATCATGCCCCAGAGCAGCTCTCAACTCGTTACCATCCTAAATAACAAGAAAGTTCTTGACATGTTTCTCCATTTGAAAATAAAGACCTATGAGGAATATGGAAGAATAGCAGAATTAATACAGCAATGTATCATTGAGAACTGTTCTGAGAATTTTTACTTTGCTTGTAGATAAGACTTTTTTGTTAGAGAGAAAGTGTATCCAAGAGTGAGAGTTGTAGCGTCTAGATAACCCTTTAACTCAAGTCTATTTTATATTTGAGAGAGTATTTTAAAAATCAATAAATTTAGTCATTTCTGTTATACTCTGGACAATATAAATGGGGCATTTTTTCCCTCTATAAAAACAAATCTCAAAAACTCGGAAATCTACAGACTCTCACTGACTTGTACCAACCTTTGGATTAGATCTGGTTACCTAGAGGTCATATTTTCTCCCATTTCCCATACTTCATTTTCTTAGCTCTTCAGAGCAGCAGCAATAAGAGAGCAAACACATTCTGTTTTGCAGTCACAGCTTGAGTTTCTGTTATATCCTAGTTTTTATAATGAAAAGTCTATAAATGAAGCTAATATAGATGTCACTGACAGAAACTAAACATGGAACAACCATTTTCCTTTTGAAATTTAACTGCCATTCATTTAGCATAAATTCTTCCTATTGCTTCAGAAGTTGGAATAATTGCATGGGAAGAATATTCTGTACAGAATACTGATATCAGAAGTCACTTCATTGATTCATAGACAAAGGGAGAGCTTTGGTTTCCAAATACAGTTTAAGAATGCCTTACAGTAATATTACACAATATTGAATGTTAAAAACCCTAAAACATACATTTTCTTCACTGGAATAAATCTTTAGAAATAAATTATATAGAAAGAAATTTATGTGCTGCAATCCACCTGGGTTTTTTTAGCAAGTGTGCGTGATTCGTTTACAGTTAAATAATAATAAAAAAAAGTGTTCATGTAATTAACACATACCTGGTTGGCCTCTGTAGTACTTTGACCTTGTCCAGCTCATTTCAGTGAATTAAGAATTCTCTGCACTAGCCTGAAATAGGAAGGGGTATCCAGCATTTCATTAGTCGTTCATTTTGCCTTAGTTTGACAAACACAGTCTAAGTTAGCACACATATTAAACTTTTGCCATCCTAAAATCTAAGCTAGTAGGAAAATAAATAAAATCTATTTCCCTTGCAATGCACATTGTTTCAAAGCATTTCTTATTTTGAGTAACAACTCAGAACTTCCACCTAATTTCTCATTGATATGAAGTGGGTGCAATCATGTATAACTTAGATGAAAACACATCCTCATTTATATAATACAATCATGAGAAGGATTTTTAACCATAGCGTGTTGCTGGACATTACTGTATGAAGCAGAGAGTTAAAAAAATAAAACAGGAATGTGCTTTTTTACCAGCATGAAAGACAATTTCATTTGATGGCTTTTCTTAGCATAATTAGCTAACTTAGAATTAATAGTGATGCTTTACCTAATTTGAAATGGCAGAGGTCCTTGTGGTCACAGTGCCTCATCTTTATGTAAAGAAAAATAATTTATATTATGTTAAATTACGAAACAATCCACCCACGGAGACACTAATTATCTTTTAAGAAAACATATTTTGATGTTGAGGACATAATTTTTGTACATCCAGCGGGGCTGATAATTGTACCTCTCTGTCAGCATATGACTGACTTGAAAGCAAGATGCCACTAAAAGTTCAAAGTGCTGACAAAACAGAGAGCGAGTCCTCTTGCATTTCTGTGGACTCAAGGGGTTGGGCAGAGAGGGAAAAAAAAAAAAAACCACAGTGACCACAATTCATTTTGGTTTCCTGCAGGCAGCTAAAAGGCTGAGATAACCCTGATGACTCTTATAATGTGGAAAATTCATATTAGAACACCAGAGCAACCTGAGAAAGTAACCAAATACTACATAATTAAGTACAATCTGAGGTGGAGACCTATGACCAGGAGGCAAATTACTAAAGAAATGTTTGAGATCAATCTTGGTTTGCCAGTTTCAGTGCAAACAACAAATTTAAGAGCACACATCCGAATTTTTCCAAAAAGGTCATTAAGCTTTGATTACCCTGTTTGCATACTGCTGGCCTTTAGTTTATTTAGGTCGAGCATCTAATCTTGTATGTTTTAATAGAGGCAATGTTTTGATACACAGTATTCAACTTCTGGAGATCACAGACAGAAAATAAATGCTTGCTGTCTTGTTAAAACTTAATCCCATTTTATATTGGGAATGGGCAGCAGCCGCATTAAAGGCTCTCCTGCCATCCCTCTTTGCAGAGCACGTCCTATGGTCCCTCTGCTTCAAGGACTGCTCTCTTACCTCAGCACAGCAACTTGCTTTCTAGTGCCTGTTTTTTCCAGACGTTATCCTCAAGTAGCTGTTTTTATTCCACTATGAGAACAAATAATTAGAGACACAGCTAACATAAGCAAAGATGCAAAGCATTAAAATCGACAGATTTCACTGCTAAAAAATGCAGTTCCTCTCTCTATATATGTCATTGTACAAGCCACTGCAGGCTGACACATCACTGGTTCAGCTAAAGTTGTTTCATCTTAAACAATGAAAGATTTGTAGGGCTTTTTTTGGAAAAGTTTTTCAGATTATCTGTTTAACAATCAATTTCCTCTTAGTAAGGGGCAAAGTCTCATGAGTAGTTTGCACCCATTCTAATCCCATTCTTCCCAACATAAAGGGGTTTTATTAATTGTTTGTTACTCAGCCATCTGAAGATTAGGCAATTCAAAGATGATAAATGCAGGCACTGTGCTCTTGGACACATTTTCATTGGAAGATGCTCTGTAAAAAACTGGAAAAAATAAAACATGTCATAGAGAAAAAGCATTAGACCAGAATACTAAATTAGCCTCCAGTCTAAATGAACTCTGATGCAGCAGACACAGAAGGGGAAAAAAACACAAACAAAAAAAAAAAACCACAAAAAATCCCCACCAATCCACAGAACTAAGGCAACAGACACAAACCAAAAGCTTTTCCAGCAATCCAGAAAACATACCCAGCACTTCTCTTAAGAAGAAAAAAAAAACCCACAACTCAGAGCCATTACTTTTTTTTAATTGACATTTTCATTTGTTTCTCTAGAAGTAATTTCCATCATTAGCACTTTGTCAAATGCAGGTAGTTTAGTACGTTTCTACTAATAAACAGCTTTTTTTCCCCTCTAGGAGACCCATTAAAGCCTTATCCTATTTAAAATTATAGTGGTGTTAGTCACTTTTGGGTAGCCAGCAATTGAAACATCCATCTTCTAACTATATCTCTATTTCTCTTGAACATTGTTTAGAAAAGTACAGTGTTGTTAAAAAATACAATGTGGCCATTTAAATGAACTGGTAATAGCATTATCTAGGTGTATTCAAATATTTCACACCTGTTTCTATATAAAAAAGGCACAGAAATACAGAACGGTATCTCATACTGCTCTAAGGAACTGAGATCAGCAGTCCTAGATATGGCAAGCTGCCTGTCCAGAAATTTTCTGAGTAATGTGTCACCAGCACACCAGCCAGGAAACCAATGACTTGTATTTGGATACGTGTGAGACAAAGATAATGTCTACCACAGAAGAACATGGTTCTTCCAGCATATGGCAAGCACTGAAACCAAGAGAGTGCTAACAGGACGCAAAGTGCAAAGACAATGAATCTTCTGTCTTTTTTTACAAAGCCTGAGCTGAACTTAGTCTTATCCTTCCATTAATTCCAAGTCTTGGGCTGTCATAAGCAATGAGGAGGAGATGGAGCCCCCTCACTTTACTTCAGCTGTGTAAAAGCTGGTGTTCCGGTCTGGTCAACTAGATTCCTTCATGTATATGGAGCTATGTTACTCCAGAAGGTAATTCATCCTATCCTGCAACTGATCTGTAAGCTAAATGGACTGAACTGCCCCTGAAGATTCCTCTACTGACTCCTGCCATAATGTAGGTGATTCACTTACTTAGACAAGATTCCTAACCTTTACTTAAGGTTAGGCTAATCCTGGAAGAGGCAATGTCTATCTCTATCCATACCTAGTTCCTGCTCTGCAAAGGTGGAAGGCCAAGGTGTGACCTAGAAGCCACTGGGCATTGGAAGAGATTGCACCTGACTTTTCCGAATTGCCAAAATCTTTTTCTTTCCAAGAAGGCTACCTAATATAAATATAGGGATTAGCCATGCTCTGAGCATGCAGGATAATCACTTAATAAATGAAATAAAACATTGCATGCCAATGTTACAGCTGCTTATGATTTGTGATGGTTTCTGGGACAAGTTTTTTTAATCTGTAATTTATGCTTATGCAACTATAAACTTCTACATGAGTTCAAACCTTAAATATTTTATGTGAGACTGTAACATTTACTTTAACCTCTTCCTCTGATCATTGCTCCCAATACTATCCATAGCTTGTATTATCATTCCTAGCACCTGCTACCCTTCAGGAAACACTTTTGCTAAGGCACCAGAATAAACTCATCCTAAAAAAGAATCAGTATACCAGAAAAGGTAGAATAAATCAAAATAAGATAAAACTTAGGCCTACTACAAGTTATAATCTTTCTTAACAGTGTAGCTGTTCAAGTTGTTTAGATGATTTGTGGTAGGAAAAAGAAAAAAAATCATGGGAATCTTAAACAGTTCAAAATAAGGGTCATATTTGTTTACATCCAATATCCCTGGGCTATCTTGGGTCTATCAAAGGCAAAAGAATGCTCCAAAACTGAGCTTCTAGACCAGCTATGCTTACTACAAAGAGGCTGAAGTGTCTTTTGGCAGCAGGCTGCCTACTGTTTACAGAAATTCACGTCAGAAATTGCCTAATAAAAAACACACTATGTGTTTTACTTTAAAAATATTGGTTAACAA